ATGAATGAATAGTGAATTAATCAGTTTTATTAGTATGATAACATTGTTCTTCTTGCTCAACGGCAGTGTGGTGTGGATGCAAGTGCAGCTGATAGGATGCTGCTTCAGTCATCTAAGCCGTCGCTGCACACTAATGTTGACTGTAGCGCACTTGTAGCTGCAGTTGTTAGTAGGCAGGTCTCGATTGTTCGTTTGCTGCTACAGGTGACTTGCACTTCAATTTCAGTTTTGCTTAGTTTAAAACAATGTTGGTGCCTAATCAAATATGACCCTGAAAGCCATAAATTAGGAGTAGTAGAAAAGTAAATTTCAATTGAGATTCCAATAAGAGTAGGCCCCCATCCCCCTCTTGTGCATTAACTGTGACAGCTGGATTTGTACCTTTCAATAGCGATGGAGTGGTACACATTTCTATGATTGCAATAGGATCTAAACAGAAAATGATTTTGATTCTATGTATCTTCTGTCAGGACAATAGTATTGTTACTGTTCTATCTTCTAAAATTACTATTGTACGTATCTTTTTCTTTTCACACCACATGACTAACAGCCCTCGTTTGTTCTTTGTTCCAAAATGGAAACAATAGGCTGGTGCGAGGACAGATGTGACAGTGAGGCTGGGAGCATGGTCATGGGACACAGCCACAGGGGAAGAATTGCGGGTAGGGGCAGGACTGGCAGAGCCTTATCCCATTACCTGGTGTGCAGTGGAGTATTTTGAAGCAAGTGGTTCTATCTTGCACATGCTCCTCCAACATATTTCCCCTGATACCCCTCATTGTGGAAGAACTCTCCTGCACCATGCTATCCTATGTGGTAATGTAGGAGCCGTTCGTGCGCTCTTACGTTGTGGTGCCAATGTAGAATCACCTGTTAAAACAACTGGAAAGACCATGTTTAATCCAATACATATGGCTGCCCAGCTTGGCTTGTCAACAATCGTTCAGTGTTTAATCGACTCTGGATGTGATATAAACTCCAAGACAGATTCTGGTGAGACAGCTCTAATGATCTGTACAAAATATAAGCATGAAGAGTCTCTCAGAGCATTGGCCATGGCTGGTGCTGATTTTGGCATGGTTAATGTTGCTGGTCAGTCCGTCAGCTCAATTGCTGGGACAAATCGCTGGTCCCTTGGTTTTCAGCAAGCATTGATACTTGTAATAAGAGCGGGAAAGATGCCAAGGTCCAGCAACTTTTCTGCATTCTCTTCCCTAATGTTTGCAGCTCAAGCCGGTGACATGGAGGCCTTGAAAGCTGTAGTCGGTTCAGGAGAATTTGACATTGATTATCAGGATGATAAAGGTTTCTCGGCAGTCATGATCACTGCTTTGAAGGGTTACGTGGAAGCATTCCGGTTGCTGGTTTATGCAGGGGCTGATGTAAAGTTGTGTAACAAGTCTGGTGAGACTGCAATTACGCTCTCTGAATTAAGCCAAAACCGTGACCTATTTGAGAAGGTAATGCTCGAATATGCACTAGAAAAGGGCAATCACTATGCTGGAGGGTTCTATGCTCTGCATTGTGCAGCACGTCGCGGGGACATTGACGCAGTCAAATTGTTAACAAGTAGAGGCTACGATGTGAATGTCCCTGATGGAGATGGTTACACTCCACTCATGTTAGCGGCTAGGGAAGGCTATGGTCCCATGTGTGAACTCTTGATCTCTCATGGGGCAAATTTGGATGAGAAGAATGCCAAAGGCGAAACACCACTCTCACTAGCAAGGAAGAGTGGTTGCGGTACCAAAAATGATGCGGAGTGTGTGATACTGGATGAGCTTGCTCGCAGAGTGGTGCTAGGTGGAGCCCATGTTTGGAAGCATACCAAGGGAGGGAAAGGAAGCCCTCATGAGAAAGAGATGAGAATGGTGGGAGCCATAGGGGTGCTGCGCTGGGGGAAGTCGAACCGGAGAAATGTGATATGCCGGGATGCAAAGGTGGGGGCCAGCCCAGCTTTTAGGAGGAATAGGAGGAGCAAGAGTGATGTGGATGAAGCTGGAGTGTTTAGGGTGGTGACTACGAAGAACAAGGAGGTGCATTTTGTGTGTGAAGGTGGGGTTGAAACCGCTGAGCTTTGGGTGAGGGGCATAAAGCTTGTGACAAAGGAAGCTATTTTGGGTAATAAGAGGGAGTCATGAATGGTGGTGACTGGTGAGAGGATAACGTCAGAGAAGCAGTAGGGTGTATAAATGTTTTCTGGAATACTTCGTCTTGAAGTATTTAGAAGTAGAGTCGTTTCTTTTTATTGTAAATGTTTTGATCCCTCAGTTGTAAATGAGTTCACTTCTCGTCGTAAGGGACAATGGATATCGAGCATCCGATAGATTTCGCTTGTTCACTAAATGGCTTCTCCTTTAACTTCCAGCGAGTCAATGAGCGTCCAAAGGTTTTCAAATTTCAAACTAACGATGCCATAAATCTTTAATAGAGATCTAAAGATAAAAAATATTATTATGGTAGAGAGAATGAAGAACCAAGATGTAAGCAAACCAAAATAATTGAGACGAGGCTATGTTCTGATTTCGAATGGCAACTTCTACACTGAGAATACGTTGGATCCTTTATGCATGGCGGCTAAATCTCTGAAACCGTTTAAATGAGCTCACTTTATCATAAGTTGAAACATCAATATCGCATAATAATAATTATCATAAGTTGGAGTAATTTTTGAGTGTTCCCGGTACACCAAACACGTGGTGTACCTGGAACATTTAAAAATTTCTCCATAAGTTGAAACATCTATGTTCTGATTTTGAATGGCAACTTCTAAAGGACTCTTCTACAAAAACAAATTGAGGTATAGCTCTTCCGGAAAGGAGGTGGGGCCTTCCGCCAATGAATATTAAAAAACACAGACAAAATACCACCTTTTAGCCTGCACTGATCTCCTTCTCCTTTGCCTTGCACAAATCCTCTGCTGTCTTCACAAACTTTTTAGTCAACTCCTCAACCTGGAAAATGTAGCCATTTCGAAGAACCAATGAGCAATAAAAGTCGCATAATATTAACTTAGGAGCAGTTAGCTTATAATTTAGGGCTCACCTCTTTCTCCAATCTTTTTAAGTCGTCCTTTGGGTATCTTGAATACAACTTTTTTATTGTATCCATTGCCTGTAAAAGAAACCAACAATCTATTTAGTCACACAGCCGGAAAGCTGCAAACACATAGAATTCATTCGTACTCACATATCAAGGGTAATCCTTTTGCACCCCCTAACATTGTTTTGGTCCTCAATACTACAAATGACACATTTCTTCATGGAACCGCCAGACTAGAGAGCAGGAAACTAAAGATTGAATCATAACTAAGGGGAAGTGTCATATCTTTCAAAGGCATCTTTTTTTGCTACTGCTATATGCTTCTAGGATTGAGAGATTCCAGATACTGAATGTGTGAAAAGTATTGCTATACTTCTCTGTCTTGATGCTTGGTGAATATCAAAATAACAAAGAAGAATCTCGCAGTCACCTCAATTGCAATATTTTTTACCTAGAAATGATTTGAACCTGCTAAAAATGTATTAGCAGAAAGAAGAAAAAAATATTGACTTTAAGTTACCTTTTGGCGAGCTCTTCTTATACTTAGTCTGCCATCTTCACAGGACTTCGTAACCACTTTACATACAGCCTGGTAGAATATGTTCAATGATAAGACACAGTAGTTATCAGACACGACAAAAAACAGAGAGGGGGAAAGCAGTTAAAAGTCACCTGAACATGCTCTTTGGTCAATCTGGCCATCAAAAAAATTAGAAAAAGATAACATTAGTCAAGCAATCAAACACTTGGGCAAGACCAACTTAGCTTGGAGAATATGAAAACTAAAAGAAAACATCAAGTGTATTTCTTAAGGTTTTTCACCAGCCTTTATAAGAAAATGTGCACTGAAAATTCATAACAGCATGAGTTACAATCAGATGTGTGCTTACGGAGGAATAGCTGCAATCAATCGATCCCCATCCACTTTAGGATTTAACCCCAAGGCAGATTCAACAATGGCAGTCTCCAACTTCTGTAAGGCCTGCAAGCTCATGTTTGGAGCCAAATATAAATATTTGAGAAACAAACTGCAATTAAGATATAGCAAGTTCACAATATCAACTATAACAGAAAGTTATAAAAAAACGCATCCCCTCATTACATTTGGATCAAAAGGGTTTATCGATAATGTTTTCGAATCCAGGACTGAAACAACGGCTATCTGACTCAGGGGCAGCTTGACGCCACCGGTTTCCACAATAATGTGGTCAAGCATTCCTGCATAAACATTTCAGACAACTAAGATAAGTAACAAACCGAAGTGAGCATACGAATAGCGATTTGACAACCGGGAAATTGAGAATGTACCCGGAGATGCTCTTCCAGTTCGTAGTTTGCTTAATTCTGCTGACAATGCTGTAATTGCCGCCTCCATTTGCGAGGTCGTGTTTGCCTTAATGGTTGGCCCCATATTTGGCAAAACTTCAATTGTGCTCGCAGCCGAGTCATCTTCTAAAAATGTGAAAATCATAGAAAAGGAGTGAAATTTAGAAGGTTGCATTTGAAAAAATATATAATTTTTGTGCCGCTAAACCAAACAGTATCTTCGATTCTTAGATATCATATATGTGGTTTTGTACAGTAAGAGAGAGAGAAAAAGAGAGTACTTGATTTATTGCGGCCTTTGGCAAAGCCTCTGCGACTTTCTTTGACGAATTCAAGAGCGGAATGAGACAGAATTCTCTGCGGTGCCTCGGAGTTGCACTGGAAGAGCTCGCGACCGACAATCGCAGAGCTTCGAAGGAGAAGGACGTTTCGGAATGAGAGCGCGCGTCTCAGAAAGATCGCCATGGCTGTAGCTCTCTAGGGTTTTAGATTTGATAAACCCCGCGCAGCGAGGCCTGAGATTTTGGGCCTCCAAGCCTTGGTTTTGGTTTCGGACTTTAGAATATTAAATGATACGACGACGTTTTATCCGTTAAATTTAGGATAATCAGGCTTTTAAGCTAATTGCAGCAGAATTTGCACGTGGTACCTGTGCAACAACACACACTCACACACACATAGCATATCCAAACACCAAGAGAGGCCAAGACCCACTCTTCGCCTTCGCTCTTCTTCTCTTCAGCCCAAGACTCAAAATTTAATAAGATTTTGGTTGTTTTTTGGCTGAGTTTGAGCTGAAAATGGAAGCTTTCTGTACCATTCGCCCTGCCTACTTCGCGGATCCACTGAAAGTAGATTTCAGCACCACCAGGTACTTTCCTCTCCCTTAAGTCTCAAATTCTCAACTGAATTAATTGGCGAAGAACATACTGGCAAACTGTCTTTACCAATTGGAATATGTAAATGGTGCAATTTCCATGGCTCAAGCTTCAAGTTTACGTATCACTATCCTCTAAAGTTTGTGAGGTTAAAGCTGATGTTTTTGTTCATAATCTTATATGAATAGAGATTTTCAAGACATTTTCAAGTTGATTATATAATGGGATTGTGATAATATTATAGTTAAAAGGAGGACTAGGGGGCTGGTTAGTATGTTGGCAACAGCAGACAGAGATGTAGTAGGCTCGCTGAGGATAGATGGGTAGAAAAATGAAATATGTATTGGTCATTGGTGGCTTGGTGCACCAATTAACTTGTATATGGTGGAAAGTAGACTAAGGATTCAAATCATTTCGTTTTTGTGATCGGGATCTTTCGGGATTGCAAGCTTGAAGGATCCAATGTGATTAGGTAGATTTTGATAGACTCGAATTATGGTGTTATTTGTTAGCTACTTCCTGCCAAACCTCAAGCCGTTGAGAGACTCAGCACTGAACATGTGCTATCTCTTTCTATCTTCCCCCAATTTCTCTTTTTGTTTCACAATCTTTTTTATTAGTCATGAGACGGAAATTGATTTCGATCCATTTTTTTTCAGGACTAGAATTACTTTCCCCCAGAAACTCTTTTTCTGTCGAGCAAAGTTTGGTAAGCAATTGGTAACACGTTTCTCTAATACAACTTTCGTAGTACAAATGTCAACTACAACTTTTGCACACAATTGATCTATTTTTCTTGAAAATTTGACAAATATCTTTCAACACTTGTACAGCTGACTCAGGGATAGATGGCTCATTTAGCTTAAAACTGGTATCTCCAGTCCTTTTAGCAGCTGAAAAAGAAGAAGCTAGAGCTGTCCTAACCTTGTTCTTGAAGAAACAAGGCCTCAGCCATACAGTTGCTGCAAGAACCATAAACAAGTCAGACCTTTTTGTTGAGCACCTGATCTCTAGGCTTCATTCTGTTCATAAATCCCGGTATCTAGTAGGTTCGAATTCAACATATTACTGCTTCTCTCTGGATCTAGCTTACATATTTATTGTAAGCTCTAAATTGTTTAATCAAATCTTCTTGCAGGGCGGGAGCTAACAACTCTTGAGATTAGGGAGGCTCTAACCCCTTACCTTGAATCCCTTCTTGATGAGCATGGAGTTTTTCTGGTAGATTTGGTGGAAAGCTTTCCAAATGCACCTGTAAAAGAAAAGCCAGTTGCACCAGTTACTAAATCTCAATCGTCTGTGGATTTAAAGAAGCTAAAGGCCATATCTCGAGTAAGTGAGATTGGCCCAGCTGGGAAGCTCCCACCTCACATTCTCTATCTTTTAGAGCTTGGCATGGATCTTGATCAAATCAAGGGAATTGCGCGCAGATTTCCATCTTTTGCCTATTATAGTTTAGAGGGGAAGATAAAGCCAATTGTTGAGTTTCTTCTCGAACTTGGGGTGCCAAAATCTGATATTCCTACAATCCTTAATAAGAGGCCTCAGCTTTGTGGAATCAGTCTATCTGAAAATATCATACCTACCATGAGTTTCTTAGAAGATCTGGGTGTGGACAAGAAACAATGGGCAAAAGTGATATACCGGTTTCCAGCGCTTCTCACTTATAGTAGGCAGAAGGTGAAGACGACCATAGATTTTCTATATGAAATGGGCCTTTCAGCCGAGCTCATAGGTAAGGTTTTGACACGCTGCCCGAACATTATAAGTTACAGTGTAGAGGACAAGTTACGGCCAACAGCTGAGTACTTTCTCTCATTGGGGGTGGATGTTGCTGTTCTGCTCCATCGTTCTCCCACGCTTTTTGGTCTCAGTATTGAAGCCAACTTGAAGCCTGTAACAGAATTTTTCTATGAGAGGGGATACAGTATGGAGGAAGTTGGGATCATGCTTTCAAGATATGGAGCATTATATACTTTCAGCTTGGCAGAGAATTTGATACCAAAATGGGAGTTCTTTTTGACCATGGATTATTCAAAATCAGAGCTGGTTAAATTCCCTCAATATTTTGGCTATAGTTTGGAAGAAAGGATTAAACCAAGGTATGCACTAATGACGGAATGTGGGGTGAGGCTGCTGTTGAACCAGTTATTATCACTATCAGCTGGTAACTTTGATAAGGCTCTCAACAAGAAAATAAAGAAATTGTCTGCTGGAAAAGATCCAAATATCAGCAGCGATGATCTTACATCGGAGGTTGAACAATGAAAGTTCTGAGCAAATATTGTAACAATACAGGATGCACTGATGCAGTACAGGTGCCACATTGAAGCTAAAAATGGATGTGCTTTCACTGGGGAATAGAGTCAATGTATCGTTTCGAAAGTTGGATAATGTATGTGATTCTTCTCAGCTGCGCGTGCAGACAGGAGGTATTCGATTGTTGTCAAATTTTCTTCAAGCTTCAGGAGGGAGTTGTATCTATTGGTACTTGGTGAGTGACATCCTCCAAATGAATGAAGAATCATCTGCCATCCTAACTCTTTTGCCTGGTTGACCTCTTTTATGACTCTTTGTATTTGCCAGGTTTTGCTATTCTAAACTCCTGGGTTTGGAAAGCTGGTAGAAACTTGATCTGTACTGTTACATTTTTTTGTACATTGTAATTCGGATTATTATTACTTTTTACATCCAATCCAATTACAGTCTAATCTTAGTATTATGTTTCCTTGTAAATGAATACCATTGTCTACAGAGAAGCTTTCATTTTCTGTCTGGGCGGTTCCCTTTTGGTTAATATGTTTGCTCATTTCATTTGGCCAATGGATGCAGCCTTGGTCTTTGCATGAAGGTCTGGTTTTAGTTGAGGGTGGGTTGACACGTCGATTGGTTCTTTTACTCGTGTCAGAAGAATGATTTATGGTGGATTAAAATTTGAATATATGCATGTGGATGTGGGGTGGCATTTTACTGCCAGTTAGTTCACAATCTTTATCTTCTTGGTCTTTGACATATCTCATATGTGTTAGTCTTTCCCATTTTGGCATAAACCGAAGTTTTTAACTTTTTTACAAATTCAAGTTCATTGCATATTTGTGCTTTAAATGTGTAATTACACCATACCTAAAAAGAATAACACAGTTTTTAACTTTTAAATAATTCGAATAACACAGTTTTTAACTTTTAAATAATTCTACTCTTACCACATTTGTATACTACATTCTCATAGCAACTTATGTGGCAGATGAGACATACAACCACATCAATTAAAAAATAACCCATATAATGTATTTCTCTTCAAAAGAAAAAAAAGACAATGTAATTTTTATGTAATTAATATGGTAATACCAATAGTCGAACACTATTATTGAATTACATAAATAATAATAGTAAGTCATACAGATTTGGTACCCCACCATAGACTGTCACCTACCAAAGAAGCCACAATGAAAAGTAATTAATTAACGTCATCTAATTTTTCATGGACTAAAATAAGTTTATAATCCTTGTATTTTTATTTTTAAAGGCAATAAAGAGTTCTTTCTAGAATACGAAAGCGGTGCTACGAGATTTGACATAAACCATTCATAGAAAAGATATTTGCTATAATCATATCTTTATCATTAACTTCCATCTTTTCTTTTCTGATACAGTTTGTTTTTCAATCCGCTTGATTTGTAATCTCCAAAAATATGACGTGGGTTGAATTGAATGTGCCTAGAAAAAAAAAAAAAAAAAAAGGTTTAGCATAATTTGTTTACTTATATTTTTGTTTTTGTTTTTTTCGGTCTGAGACTTACAGGGCACACTAGAATCGACCGTTTCTTGTTATTTCTTAAGGACCTCCTTCCCTCCCGTGGCCCCTGCATTTGTTTGCAGTTAGCAGTTCGTGCGTTTCTTTTCCTTTTATCTCCCAAATAAGTGAGAAGAGGAACCAAATCACAGAGAGAGTGAAAAAAGCTAAAGAAAACCAATTGGAAAAAGGGCATGTTCTACTCACAGTGCCTCCTATCAAGGAAGGGGCCTTTGGGCGCCATTTGGGTTGCCGCTTACTCTTTCAAAAAGCTCAAGAAGGCGCAGGTCACTCAGACTGACATCTCCTCCTCTGTTGGTTCGTTTCCCTTTCTCTTCGCCGTCTTTCTCATGGTTTCCTTGCCTTTGGTTGACATTTGAAAAAAATGAGGGGAAAATCACAACAAAACCATAAATTTTTGTAATGGGGTTTTTTTTCTTACAATATTTGAGCACACACTGTTTTCTAACTTTTCTCTGATTGTTTCTCCAAAAACCAAACAGAGTTTCTCTTCTTTTGTTTTTTTCTTTCTCTTTGGGGCTTCTCTGTTTCTTTCGTTTTAATAAAAATAATGATGTGCGGGCAGCGGGTGTTGTTAGAAGAGTGCTAGGAAGATTTTCTTTTTCTTTTATGGAAAGGGTATTTTCTCTTCACGGGTATTCATGTTTGGTGGCTTAATTACGTTGTATTTGCTCTGAAGTACATTAATTTTGTAACCTGGTTTCTGGGTTTGCCATTAGTTACTGTTATCAACCATCTAGCCATTTGTTGGATCCGCTTAGTTGCTTCCTAATTCAGGTTTCTGGGTTTGTCATTAGTCACTGGCTGTTTTGCATAAGAAGACAGAATTTTCTGGGAAAATGTTATTCTTTTGCTAGTTACCAGGAATACCTCTTCATGTTATTTGACATTCAGCCTGAAATATCTTTAAACCCTATTCTGCTGGTGCAGATAAAATTTTGCAGGATGAATGGGATGTTGTTGCGTACAGGGTTCTCGCCTACCTTCTTCTTGGTGTCGTTCGAATATACTCGAAAAAGGTTGAATATCTGTTCAATGATTGTAATGAAGTGCTGATTAAAATCAACAAATTTGTGGTTAGTACAAAAAAGAATGCAGATGCAGACAAGCTGTGGGCGCCTAATTACTCTGTTACTCTACCTGATAGATTTGAACTTGATGCTTTTGATCTGGGGATCCTTGAAGTTGCAGATGTCAGTGGGTAAGCTGTGTAGCTTAAAAAACCTTATGAGGATATTACTGTATGTATTTCTCATATTTAACATGTTTGCTTCCCCTACTTCCCAGATGCAATGTGGTGTCCCATGAAGATATCACACTTAAAGGTATTAAATGTTTGGTCCTTAATACTATTCACTTAATTTTATTTGTATAATTTTACACGATTCGGCATGATATGAAACAGATTGTGCAAAGGGGAATGGAATTGGACAATTTTATTCAGAAATGGTATGTCACATAGTCATTCTAATGTTTATCTATTTTGTCAGTTTTTTTAGCCTAATATGCATTCATTCTTTTCTTGTTCTGCTGAACTTTTCATGGTATTAACTTATCTCCTTTCAGGCCCTAAGAGACATTCATTTCCTTATGACAATTAGTTCTTAATGATTTTCCAAATTTCCTGCCTCATGAGAATTTTCATAGGTTTGATTAAGTTTCATCCAGAATATGCACCTGAGGAGTCAGTTTGTGTTTGTGCAGTATGATTATGAGGAATTTGGTGTCTGTGACAATACTTCCTCTGCTGATTTCACCCCAATCAAAGAGTACGTATAACCATTCAAGATGCTCGAAGTTTATAATTTTGTGTCATCCCTAAATTCATTTTCAAATACTTTCCTTTAATCTTATTCTTGACAAGTATTTCTTATTTCAGTGTACTTTCATCTTACATGTTGAACTTTGACATGGAGTTAAGAACATCAAGTAATGGAGCCAACTCAGAAGCATTTATAGAGTTTCAAGGGAACAGGTTCTCTCAAGAAGAATGCGCAGACCTAGAAACATTTTGTGGAGTTCAGGAAGAACCTCCAAACCAAGTTATTTCATATGGAGAAGATCAAGAAACTAATAGAGAGCAGATAAAGGCTCCAGATATAGCACCGTCTGAATATGGAATTCAAGGAGAATCAAGCATGGAAAAGATTCAAGACCTTACGTTGTCTCAGGAAGGTTTGAACCTTGAGACAGTCTATTCAGTCTATGGGACTGAGAGAGAACCTTCCTACTATGTTAGATCATCCAGTGAAGATCATCAAATTGATCGTGAGGAGATTATGGAACCAGAGTTGGTGCAACCAGAAAATCAGACGTGTCAGATTATAAGACAAGACAATAATCTAATTGCCTCAGAAGCTAACATGGAAAAACTGCTAAGATGTACAGTTTCTCAAGAAGAGTACATGGACCTTGATATGTTTCTTGGGGCGAAGCAATCTCGAGAACTTGTTTGTTCATCTGGTGAAGAGAATCATATTGACAGAGAGCCAATAAAATTGCCAGAGACGAGTTCGCCAAAAAGTATAGAACACCAAATTATTGTGCAAGAAGATCCCGATCCTCTCTCTGTTGAATATGATGGAACTCCTGGTGCCAAGCTCCCCGGTGCTTTAGGTGCATACTTCTCAACAAAGGAATTTAATGTTATGTTTCTTATTACCTCTTAAGTATTCAATTCCTATAGTTGTTTAGGACTTGAAAAAGAGTTGCTTTAGCACCCTATATACAGAGTTGGACGTTAGTTTTTCTTAGTCAAATACTGTTCTGAGTTCCATCTTTTGCTTTGCAATATATATATAAAATCAAAATTTCATGTATGCTTAACAAGTTTGTCCTAAATTATTTATCATAATGCAGGTATTACTACACCAAAGTTTATGGTTATTCGTACACCAGCTACTAAGGAATATGCTCGAATTTCTAGGAAAAGAAAATGTGTCATTGATGATATGACAGTGCTGCCTAATGAGTACGTAATGGTTTACTGTCCCTTTACATGTGTTAAGTTGAAGTGTTCCTGTTTTGTCTATTTGTAGAAATCTAGGCTAGAAATTATTTCTAATTTTATCCATAAAAGTTAAAATGACATTTGGAGCATCCATCGTTATATTTGAAATAACATCCTTTCGGACACTTTGGATTTTAATTATGTTTCAATGGATTATAAGTTGACCAAGGAATAAGAAACCGTAACATAAAATTTCACAGGGTAATCCGGCGAAGCATACATGATGCAAGTGACTTGGTTTCTAAAAGAAGAAAAGTTCCTCAAACTGCCCTTGCTGTTTGGAAAGCCTGTCAAATTGGAATTCTAACCCATGATTTATTGGAGCCATTGCTACCTGGTAATTTCCTATCGTTATTTACTTTCTGGTTCATCAGTTGTGGAACCGCTGCTAACCGCATTTGCAGCTGGTGTTTCACAAGAACTTAAATCCCTGTCCTGCAAAAGGAAATTAAAGATTGTAGAACCTGCTGAAACTGTTGGAACTCCAGAAAAGTTAGATGTGTTGGAATCTCCAAGTGTTGGTAGGTCAGAGCAAATAGAAATTGCACCAGAAACGCCTGTTCGTCGCTCACAATCAATGAAATCATTTGACAGTCCAAACAGCCCTGAAGCTCATGATGTGGATATAGTAAGACCTGAGCCATCTGGAAGGATAGAGGAAGAGCCATGCCTGAGCAGGGAGCAAGCTGACCCACCTGAAAGTTTAGAAGAAGTACCATTTTTGGACAGGGATATATTAGGACCTGGGCCATCTGGAAGGATAGAGAAAGAGTCATTCCTGAGGGATCAAGCTGACCCATCTGGAACTGTAGAAGAAGTACCATTTCTGGGCAGGGATCAAGAACATGATTTCAATCTGCTGAACGAGGTAAAGTAATGATTACTATGGAATTTTATTGTAAGAAAAGCATCTACAAGAAACGATTAGATGCTTTTCGCAGATACTACCTGTTGATAGACATGTAGATAAGTCAATGTTAGTATAGAGCATAGCCATCCTGGAAATCTTTCTATTTGTGGTACTCAGACAAGTGAATGCACATGACAAGCTCGCTTTTACTATTAAAGGTCTGAAACAAGCATGTATGATATTGATGCTGCTACATGTTATTATTTTGTTTCTCATTTGTTCTGGAATTGATTATGTCTCTTTAATTCTTTTTAATCTTGCCTCAGGAGATTGATTTATGCGAAGAAGCTAACCCTGAAGTGGGTAAGAGGCTCAAATTGATTTCATTAAGCTAGCTTTTGTTTGATTTGCATTTTTTTTCTCAATCCTGAACTCTGAAACTTATTTTTGTTGTAGATGGATGGTCAGGAAGAACCAGGTATGGTGGATTTGCCCTCTTGAAATTCTTTTGGCATAAATGTCAGGGCTAATATTTTATCTTATACCAACTTTTTCTTTAATAACAACTTGTGCATACAGAGTAGTTGCAAGGTACTTGCAGAGACACTTTCCGAATCGTAAAAAACGAGGAGAGGAGGAAGTGAACTTGTTGCAGGTTTCAGAAGGAAGAACTAAGAGAGAAAGTGCAAGGCTATTTTATGAGATACTGGTACGATCTATCTGTACTATGTGGTTTAGAATCTTCATTTGGCTTCGTCATGAGTTTGGGTCATTATTGAATTTGTTTTCATTTATATATTTATTTATTTTTGCAGGTGTTGAAAACTAAAGGGTACGTGGATGTGAAGCAAGATGATGCGTATGGTGATATTCTGATCTGGAAACGCCCCATCTGGGACCAAACGTGGGGAGACGATATGGTTAACAGAGGCACCTCTAAAACTATGTATTTATGCGCATAGAATTTTCTATGCTGCATAAATTGTATACCACCACCACAGTAGGTTTTTTTGTACGAAGTTAATTAGTCATGTAAAGTTAGCCTCTATTTTGAGTGGCTTTTCCTTAGAACAATGTCAGAAAGACGGGCATGTGATAATGCCCCCAACAAAATAAAGTTTCAAAACTTTCATCTTTTTTGAAGCTCCAATTCTATAACGCATCACCACTTTTTTTTTTCTTTCTTTTTTTCAGATTTTCACAAATAAATATGTCCAACGGTAGATGTTAGAAATCCCAAAATTTCTTTTTTTTGGTACCTAGCCGGTGCTTTATTTATACTTCAGTGGTGCCAATGGAGTTCATTTTTTTCTCTTTTTGGTAGACAAAAACACCGAATGGCTATTTTCCATATGGATTTGGTGGATTTCACAAATTAGGTGCAACTCAATTACAAGCACTTTTTAACACATCTGAATCAGCCACTCACGTTAACACATGAGAATCATAATCTTTCACAAAAACAATGGAAAGACGCACAAACAAGAGTCATTTGATTCATCTAAACTCAAAACTCTTACAGAAGAAACCAAATATAAAGTCTAATCACTTGAAGATCCATCGTCATCATTTTCATGCTCAGTCACAACTTTCTCTATAAACCTCTTGCGAACCCCGTCGATCACAGCTTTCCTTGACCGGCCATTTCCACTCTGCCCATCGTTGAGCACAGGATCTGATTGGCAGAGAACTAATGCCACACCTGATAATATTCAGTAAAAATTCATTAAAAACAGTTTGTGAACATTGGTGTTGAAGTTTATGCTCCTCTTTTCCACAGTCAATGTGCTAAAAAAGACCCAACTGAAGGTCAAAGTGAAAATACCTTCAGGTGTGCATCTCCGGCCAAAGCTTCGCAAGCCAACGTGATTTGCTTTGACAGCACCACTGTTGTACACCAAAACAGTGGGAACGTTACGATCTGGGTAATTTGGGATGCAGTCGGTGGATATTATCTTCACAAATTTGGTAGCTGGGTATTTCGCAGCCAAATCTTCCAAGCATTGCATCAGCACCCCACATTCCGCAATTCCTTCTTTGTACAGAATCACAACCACCCAAACATCAGCCGGAGCTTGCGAAACCTCTCGCACGAAATCTGATCCCGAAATCGGCACAACCGATCCAAACCTCGCAACCTTAGCTGTTTCTCTCAACTCAGCCAGCCTCTTCTTCCTATATTCTTCGAGGAAGCGATCGTCGTCGAGATCGGGATTGTCTTCGAGGTCTTCGAGGTCCTGCTCGGTCTTTTCATCGATCCAAGACTTGTCTTTAGGAAGAGAGGCTTGATCATTGGCCGGAGTGAAAGGTGCTGGCTTGAACGCCGGTGGTTTCTCTGGTAGGTTCCCTAGCTTTCTCTGTATGTCATCCCACTGCGTCGATGCTCCTTCCACGTCCTTGTACACAAAGTGATAGTCCGCCATTCTCTCTCTCTCTCGAATTTTCCTTAACGTTTACAGGATTAAAACTACGGTGACTAAAGTTGTAAAACAGGTGAACTACGTATCCCAAAAATGACTTTTTACCCTTTTATTATTATCCTAGTAACCGAGTTTTATTAATACAAATTTATAAATAAATCCGAGTTTTTTTTATAATTTCAGCCCCATTTTGGGTATTTTAGTGAAACTCCCTTTTATTAATCGAACCGGACACTCAGCTCAGCAAAAGCGACGAGTCGATCCCCGTCCATTCTTTGCGTTTTTAAAGCGACGAGTATATACACCAAAGCCAGAACGAGCTCTCGAAGCTTTCTCTCTCTTCTCTGCTCCCGGTACGTAGAAATCGAAAGCTCGACCTAAAACCATGGACGCTGTACAAGCTCTGGTGGCGAATATCCAAGGGCTATCGAGCGCTGGGGACATCTCGCACCTTCATGTTGTTCTGAAGCAGGCGCCGGACTCGCTCTACGCCGAGTCGACTCGATTACTTCCTGTTCTGGACCAGCTTGACCCCTCCAAGCACTCTCTCGGATACCTCTACATCCTGTGAGCCTCTTCTTCACTCTAACAATACCCTTTTTTTTCTAATTTCATTCATGTATTTTTCTTTTTCAATGATCGGTTTCCTAGGGTTTAGTCGGACGGCTCTGTACACAATGTCTTAGGGTTTGATTATCGGGTGAGAGTGCAAGCTCTAATCCACATATATTGAAGTTATATCTGCGTTGCGTTTAAAGGAATTCTGGAAAATCCTTAATCTAATTCTACCTAATCTGCACTAAGAATTCTGGCATTGGATGAAATTGCATTTGAGTTTAGAAATTTGATTGTCAAAAGCATTTGTAGTGTGCGGTTCTTTTTTATAAAAGATTCTGCCAAGTTAGTATTCATGAGCATTTGAAAATCGATGGAAATTGACTCTCTATAATGGGTATATATGTTGTCAGAGAGGCATGCTCTTCTGGTTCGATTTCAAAGGAGCAAGGAAGTGCGTTGGTTTTGCCTATTGCCACATTTATCAATTCCTGTGATACGGAACAGATTCGTTTGGCACCTGATAAATGTATTATTCTTTACTCTTTTATATTGGACTTGTGTAAATGTTGTTAGATTGCACCTATGATTCCTACTCTTGTTGATTTGTTCTGTTTGTAGTCCTATCTGTTTGTAAGAGGTTCAAAGATCAAGTTATGGTTCTTGAAGAACCACTGCGGGGAGTGGCACCAATGTTGACAGCAATTCGGAAAATTCAGACCTCCTCAGAACATTTGACTTCCTTGCATCCAGAGTTTCTTCTTCTTTGTTTGTTGTCAAAATGCTATAAAGCTGGATTGTCCATTTTAGGCGATGACATTTTTGAGGTTGATCAGCCAAGGGATCTTTTTCTCTATTGCTATTACGGGTGGGTGGCTCTTTCTACAGAGTATTATCTATTTCAGTTTGACACATTTTCTTTCATCTCAGTTCACTGATTTTTAATTATTGAGAAAATTATGTTTGGTAGTGCTCCTTTCTTCATCTGACATTTCTTACTTCTATGTTTTATATGCTCTTGCATCTAGGAAACGCTCCTGGAATTCTTGTTTTAGAGTAGCCATCTATGTTTTATATGTTCTGAGAATGAAATTTTTATTACCATTAACCATGATTTTCAGGGTTTGTAGTTTATTTGGTAATATAATTTTAGTAAGAGAGTGAATTATAAATATCCATTTTAAGAGTATTGAAATGTCATATTTCTCTTTTGGTTCTTTGGACCTTTAGAAATTTAAATATAATTAATTACTTTTAATTGATTAAATAAGTCGAGTAAGATAACGCATTCTTGCTTTAAGAGTCTTATTCTGTTTCATTTGTTGTGGTTATTTACATTTCATAGCCTTACATTTTACTTGATTATTTATATGGAATATAGTTACTGATTAATTGTAAAACACTTATATTTCATTTTGAAAAGAAGACTGGAACTGATCCATTGTGTGCTATGTCACAGAATCCACTTTAATAAGTTGATTCATCAGTTTGATGATTGATGTGGAATGTCATTAGTCTTTAGAAGGCTTGTTAATGCTTCTAGCTTTGAGGATTTGGTGTTGCTAAGGAACTTTTCTTACAATATTTCATCTTTCACATCACTGTAGGGGGATGATATGCATCGGACAAAAGCGTTTTCAGAAAGCATTGGAGCTTCTACACAATGTCTGTCATCTATATTCTATGTTTACCTCCTTATACTTTCTAAATTATCTACTATATTTTGAATTTTGATATACTTGTCCATCCTAATCGTGAAACATATTTTCCAGGTTGTAACAGCTCCAATGACTGTTATTAATGCAATAGCTGTTGAAGCATACAAAAAGTACATATTGGCTTCACTCATTCACCATGGGCAGGTATGGCTTTTCTTCGCATGGATCCCTCTACTTGAAGTTTAATTTGATTTTGTAAGTCAATTCACACAACAGGGATACTATGGTTTGAAAGTGTCAATTTGCTTGGTTTTGACTTGACACGTTCATCTGTTTATGCTGTTAATATATTGAGGATAATCTGATGATTGCTTTATGCATGGTGACAGTTCTCTACCAGTCTCCCTAAATACACCTCATCAGTAGCTCAGAGGAATCTGAAGAACTTTTGTCAGGTTAAGCTAAAGTTGAGCATTGCGCTTCACTATAGATCTATTTTCTTTTATAGGTTGCTTGGCCTTTGTGGTATCTACATATTTAAGTTCTGATAATGTTAGGCTAGCACTTGAGCTGTAGTTTACCAGCTCCACGGACTTCATTTGTTTTTTAATCCTCTATTGTACAGCCCTACATGGAATTGGCAAATAGCTATAGCACTGGAAAAATTGAAGAATTGGAGACATGTGTGCAGAAGTACAAGGAAAAGTTTGAAAACGTGAGTTCTTTATAATAGTTTCATCCTGTTGGTTTTATTGACAAATTGGATGCAATATGATTCTCTCTTTCATGAAATCTTTAACCTTCTTAACAAGGCTTTTGAATTGTGTTTTCCCTCAGGACAACAATCTTGGACTGGTGAAGCAGGTTATATCTTCCATGTATAAGCGAAACATTCAGAGATTGACTCAGACATACTTGACTCTCTCCCTCCAAGATATCGCCAACAGTGTTCAACTAAACAGCGCCAAGGAGGCAGAAATGCATGTGCTACAAATGGTAAATGCAAAGTACTAGCAGTAGAGTATTGGTATTACAAATATTAGTATTGTACCCTAACTTTTTTTCTTTCTTGATGTACAGATCCAAGATGGTGAGATATTTGCCACAATTAACCAGAAAGATGGAATGGTTAGATTTCTTGAGGATCCTGAACAGTATAAAACCTGTCAGATGATTGAACATATTGACTCATCAATACAGAGGTAAATTGTTTGGTTATCAATTTATATGTTGGATTATTGCCCTTTTCTTTGGGTTGGGGCCAGTGGCGGGTGGAGAGAGAGAGAGAGGGAGAGAATCGTGAATACTTGTAGTTTATTAATGCTAACATAGCACTCTAATTCTTCATGATGCGATATCATTTAGATAGATGAAAGGAATATTTTTCCAGTGAAATATTACGTCCACATGTCAACTACAGTTAGTGACGTTTTTTTTCTTCTTTCGATTTTGAATTTATTTATTTCCTCTCCATCCAGGATAATGGCACTGTCAAGGAAGCTGACTGCTATGGATGAAAACATCTCGTCTGATGCTTTGTTCTTAGGAAAGGTGAGTGTTGTTTCCACATTGTAGCGGAACTGGTTGTAAAGCTATTGATCATGTTAATCAAACAATCACCTGCATTAATGTTCAGGTTGGAAGAGAACGACAGAGATTTGACTTCGATGATTTCGACACTGTTCCTCAGAAATTTAACATATGAATTAAGCAGGATCACGCTGTATATCGACCTATGTACGTGAACTTGAGAATTGTGATGGCAAAGATGCTGGACCACTTGATGTCTTTTCGGCTCCTTATTGTGCACAGAGATGAAAAAATTTCAGTGATTTTCTCCCAATTGAGAAGAAGATATACTATCTAGTTATAGAATTAGTTTTGGTCATGTTTTGTATTAGCTTTTGTTTTGCTTTATTTTTTGATTGTTTCCTACAACGGTTATTTAAACAGCATATCCAGAAATGATGCATTAGAGAGAGCTGAGACGCTGCATGTGCAGTGGTAAGAAAATTAACAGGGATATTGCCCTGCTCGGCCTATGGATCGACATTCGAGGCTTTACACCAGGAACATTTCTAATGTCAAACTATCTGGTTCGACAGGCCCAGAAATTTCTTCGTCTTTGGGCTTCACCTTTTTAACAACACTGAGCCTTGTAATGCAGGACTCCATTGTATGCTACTGTGTTTGGCCCATCGATTCTGGGCTTCTTTGGCCCTCACTACGTGCCAATAATTATGGCCATATCCTGGGCCCACTATTATCACATGCTTTTAATAACTTTTTCAAGGGCCGAAACATGCTAATTTCCGCCCCAGATTTACTTTTATAGGTCCACTCTGGTCCTACTTCTGGCCCCATTTTATGTTATTGGACCGAATCCTGCCCTTTTTTAAGTCACTGCCAAATTTGGGCCTGTTTTTAGTTTATTGGGCCGCTTTTCTCGTTATGGGCAGCATTGGGGCCTGTTTCACCTTATTGGGCCGAATTTGGGCAGTTTGCACGTTATCGGGCCATTATTGGGCCTGTTTTCACGTTATTGGGCCGCCGTTGTGATGGGCCACCGTTGTGCCAGTTTTCATGTTATTGGGCCTGTTTTCACATTATTGGGCCACTTTTGGGCCTGTTTTCACGTTATTGGGCCGCCTTTGTGCCAGTTTTCATGTTATTGGGCCTGTTTTACTTTATTGGGCCGCTTTTGGGCCGGCTTTCACATTATTGTGCCGCCTTTGGGCTCAGTTTCATGTTATTGGGCCTATTTTCAAGTTATTGGGCCGCATTTGGGCCTTTTTTACTTTATTGGGCCGAATTTGGGCCAGGTTTCATGTTATTGGGGCAAAGTTCGGCCTGTTTTCACGTTATTGGGCCGGCTCTGGTCCGTTTTCAAGTTATTGGCCTATCTCACGTTATGGGGCCGCTCTTGGGTCTGTTTTCACATTATTGGGCCGCTTTGGGGCCTGGTTTCATGTTATTGGGCCTATTTTCACGTTATTGGGCCTATTTCCACGTTATTGGTGCGAGTTTGGGCCTGCTTGCTTGTTACTGGGCCGCCTTTGGGCCTGCTTGCTTGTTATTGGGCCTGTTTTCACATGACTGGGCCATCTTTGGGCCTGTTTTCACTCTATAGGGCCGACATTTATTTACTTGGGCTGACGTATGTATGTTATTGGGCTGACTTTACACCTATTTTCCGATTTCTGGGCTGTGTCCAAATTATTGAGCCGTGGGTAGGGCCAGGGCGCAATATTTTGGGCCTACATTCTCAATATTTCCACTATTCCGTCGTTTTGCCATCTCCAAAATTTCCTCTTTTGCTTCCTTTTTTTTTTTCCTTATCTTCATTAGGGGTGGGCATCTATACCGTAATACCGAAACCGTGTCAATACCATATCATATCATACCGTTTAATACCGTACCGTATGCCCACCGAATTAATACGGTATCATACCGTACCGTGCCAATCTTGTATGACACGGGTGTGGTATCATATATCAGCCACCGTATGAAACCATACCGTACCGAATAGTAACCCTAAACAAAATTATACGCTAGTTTTTTTTTTCACTCTCAATCTCTCACGCCTCCTAGCAGACCCAGATTCTCTCAAACTCTGCTTCCACTCCCAGCAAGCTCTCTCTTTCTCTCAAACTCTCGATCTCTCACGCCTCCCAAACCCTTGGATCTCTGTCTCTGTCTCTTTCTCACTCTCTCACTCTCACGATCTGTCTAGTCTCCTCCCTCTCGTAGCTCCCACAAGATATATGCGAAACTGAAATCCAGGAGCTGTGGCCTACCGCAACCAGGTACAACCTGTGATTTTATTTCCTAGTTGCTCTGAAACGCTAAGCTGTCTGCGCTTGTGGTTTTTCATCTATCACTTAATTCTGTCTCTCGATCTTTCTCTCTCTGTCTCAGTCTCTCAATCTGTTTTGGCTATTTCTTGGTATTGCACTTAATTGAATTAAGCTCTTGATTGGTTTTCTCTTTTACTCTTAACAGAGGAAAGGAATTCAATTTCATGCATTGAAATTCGTAGATTTTGTTGACAGAATTGAATTTCATTTGGTTAGGGCTTTTGGTTTTCATTAATTAATTTATCTGAATTGATTACGGTTTTGTGTTCTGATTTATTGATTATATTTTTGTGTTTTGATTAGTTGATTAGGAATGAAAGTGCTATCCTTTAAAACTATAAAACAGCACGAAAGAAACCAATTTTGTACCTAACAAGTTCATGTTTGATGTTTCTTTATGATACATAGTGCAAAACTTGATCACTCTCTCTGTCTGGAACTGGAAGCCCAAAATCGAAGACTCAAACTCAAATGGTAAGTTTATTTTCAACAAAGTCTCTGTCTGGATTGATGAATTAGAGCAGGAATATCTGATTAAATATGTTGTCATGCAGTCTCGATCAAGTAAGCATCAGGAGAACAGTGGGCATGCTATTTCTTCAACGGCAACATCACCAGCACCACCACAGTGTGCTGTGCAGCCAGAAGCCCAACCTTGTGAAGCTCCTGTGCTTGAGCCAATGCAAGCCCTTGAGAGTACAGAAATGGTTAGTGAACTGAACTCAGATAGCAAAGGTAGAGGTACTGAGAGAAGTTGGGTTTGGGAACATTTTACACCTTATGATGATAAAAAAAACTGTCAAAAGGAAGGATGAGGCCACAGGGAAGATGGTAGATGTAGAAGTTGTGAATAAAAGAGCTAAATGTATATATTGTCCTAAATCTAAAGTTGGTCTTGGAGATTATGCATGTGAGAGTGGGAAAAATGGGACGTCGGGAATGATAAGCCACATTAGAAAATATTGCAAATACTACCCACCTAACCAAGATAAAACACAAAAGATCATTACTGGTAATAAGGGTCAGAGTAACAAAATGGTTGCTAGGGGGTTTGTGCAGAGCGATATTATTCATGCATGTGTTGAAATGATTGTGGTTGATGAGCTGCCATTTTCTTTTGTAGAAAAGAAAGGTTTTATGAGGTTTTGTAGTGTTGCTTGCCCAATGTTTGAAGTGCCTAGTAGGAGAAAAACAGTGAGGCAGTTTCTTAAAATGTATGATGCACAAAAACAACAGCTGAAGAAAGATTTAAGTGCACTTAGGATAAACCTCACGACTGACACTTGGACAAGTGTCCAAAACACCAATTACATGGTGCTCACCGCACACTTTATAGATTGTGATTGGAAGATGCACAAAAGGGTTTTAAACTTTTGTGTTATTCCTAATCACCTGTATTATTTTTGCATTGAATTCTTTCTAATAATTGTTTGGGTAATTTGTAGAATATGCAAATGATGAGGATGCTTGAAATTCAAATTGTGGGCTGCAAATGATGCTTGGATTGCATAACTTTATGTTTTTGTCATTTATGTTTGGATTGTGTTTGTAATTTTGTAAGCCATAAGGCATAATTATTGATTATCACTTATTATGGATGTTGAATTTGTTGATGTTTATTGATTTTGTTGATTAGGATTTGGATGTTGAATTTGTTGATGTTTATTGATTTGGTTGATTAGGATTTGGATGTTGATGATATTGATTTGAATCTTTGGTGAATGAATAGATTGAATATTCAATTGGTTTATTTTTTAGTTTTGTTATTTTGATACCAAAATGATACCGTATCATACCGATACCGATTTGGTACGGTATGGTACGGTACCAACTTTGGCAAACCATAATACCATACCGAACCATACCGATTTTAATTTCCGGTATCGGTAGCGGTATGAGTCCAATACCGTACCGTACCATACCGTGCCCACCCCTAATCTTCATCCTCTCCGTCTTCTTATCATCATCATCATATGAATTTTGGAGTCTTCAGTCTCTCACCTTCTTCGTCATCATCCTCCGTCTTCACCATGAAAAAGAAAAAGTATAACACTCGTTCTTCACTTACAGATTATACCGAAAAACAAGATGCACTGCAAAAGCAGACAGGCAGGCAAAGGGAACGAAGAATGAATGCATTACGGCTGAGGAGACAAAGTTGTGAAACAAAGTTGCAAACTGGAGCTTTACTTGAGGAAAGACAACAATAATGCACGAGAAAACCTAACTCTGAATATCAACATTCCTTTTTTTGACATAACTCTGGATACATTTTCAAACAGGTTATGTTATGCTTTTCAAAACAAAAAAGAAAAGCTAAAGCTTATGTGATTTGACATAACCAACGAACAACAGTAGATTCAGTAATGTAACGTCCCTGACGGTAATTTGACATAACCAATGAACGGAAATTGACTACTCAACCCTAATTTTTCCATAATTTTATTATGTTTTCAACGGACAGAGATGAAAACTGATATGTTTTCCCAAATCAACAAAATAAGATGAAGAATACCTGCATTATGAAGATCGACAACTGCACCAACTGCAAAACCACAAATGAACCTCTTCCCATTGCTATCCGCAACCGTCCCACTGAAACCACCACTTGGATGCCTCAGACGAACTCGAGGGTTTAGGGCCCCCAGAATTTCTCCACTGCAATAACCAAATGACCTCGCCATCAACGAGTTCCGCATCTTCCTGAAGACAGAGAGAATCGAATTCCTAGTCTCCTTATCCTCTTGCAATCGAACTCCTAAAACTTCTGGCCCATTCGACTCGAACGCCATCTTCGAAACTGCGTCAGATCCGTCGATCATCTTCTGGCCGATACGGTACCAACAATTGGAAACCCTAACGAGTTTCGCAAAGCGAGACGAGCTCGTCTCGGTGATTGAGATTCGTAGATCATCGATCGGCGACTCCACGCAACTGTTGATTTCTTTCTTGACGCCGGTGATGAGCTCCGAGAAACGCTAGGAGTAGGTGGCGGAGAGGATTTAGTCATTGAGATGAGCAAAGAGCGTCGTTGTAGTGAAGGTCGGTTCGGATCTGGATGAGCAGAGCAGAGAATACTGTTCAGCGCACTAAAATGCAATACGCGCTCCTTTTGGTTTTAATTGAGGAAAATGAAGGTTGGCGTTGGCTAATTCCTGCTTGGCAATCTGCACGGGCCGGGACAGGCCCAATATTAGGGTGTGTTTACTAAACAAAAATGGGAATGCTCATTTGTTTACTAACGCTTTAGGAGTGAAAACTTCTGGTTGGGGGTCCGATTACTGAAGGGGAGGTAGGATTGGAGAAGTGTGAAACGAAATCAACATTGTAATATAGCACGGTAAGATGAAATAACCTCTAAACAATTGATCAAGATACACAAGATACAATAATTTTTATGAGAGATTATGAAGCCAGTAATGTACAAGGGGAACACAATTGGATAAAGTCTGGTCGGTCAAACTTTACATCATTTACAGAGAATGACCCAGACTACATCAGCTACCAAAATTATCAGAGGCATTATCCTTCATACCAATTCTTTCTTTTCTCTCTCTCTCTCTCTTTTTTTTTTTTTTACTTTTCCACAATTAAAAGCAATCTTCTCTTTTGCAACATCCATTAACTCATAAATAAATCCCATAGCGGGTCTCTCCTCTGAATCAACTTCTCTCAAAACAGATACTAAAGGAATAACAGTTTTGATGCAAAAAGTAACATGGGACCAAAAATTAACATCATAAAGTATAGTTGAGTGAGCCCTAACACCTTCATTATGTTGGACAAATGGTCCATTGTGCCATTCTCTAGAAGAAAACATTGCCTGAAGAGGTTGCTTTTGCTTATAGATGCTTTGAAGAGTAAGATAAAAAGTGGCAAACCGTGTGATTGCAGGGCGAATTATCTCTTTGTTTTTCGTGAAAGATCTCATCAAAGCAAGAACCCATGTATGCCCATAAATAAACTTCACTACTTGCTTGGCTAGTCTAATTGTATCTTCAAAAACTTTCATTTTGCTAATATCTTCTAACATCAAATCAATGCAAAGGGCAGCACATGGAGTCCATCATAACTTCTTCCTCTTCTCCATAAGTTTCACTCCAGCATTCTTATAATTGGAAGTATTATCTGTTATTACTTGAATCACATGCTCCTCCCCAACTTCTTTGACAACATCATCTAAATATTTGAATAGTAGCGTTCCATTTTTTTTATGGAATCAGATGCATCAATAGATTTCAAAAACCAAGTACCTGCAGGCAGTGGCGGATGCAGGATTGTTACCCCATGGGGTCATAATCCTAGTGTTAAAATTCTGAATTTTTTTTTTAAGGATAAGAACAATGCTAAAAATTAAAAAACACTCCAAACTTATTCCAATTAACAAACACATCATTCAATAAATTAAGCCCATTATATAAACCATAAATTTAATCGAAATAATAACACCAACCCAAATAATAAATACACACACCAAAAAATAACCCAAATAATAAAATATCTGGAATATTACAACAAAAAGAGCACAATGGGTGTTGAACCCTTGACCAAAAACTTCTTTTCAATTCAGAGGCCACTAAGGTAAGTGATAGCTTACATTATTTATGTATACTTTTAGTATTTATAGGTCTAACCAACATAATTGTAAAAATATTTTTAAAAACCCTAACAGATCAATTCGTTTTTTATAAAAAAATTTGTGTTTGCGCTTGCCGACTCGGGCTTCTTCTTCCTCCATTTCTCTCTCTTCTTCCTCTCTCTTTCTTCTCCCTCTCAATCACTGTCTTCTTCTTCTTTCTCCCTCTCTCTCTCTCTTCTTCCTCCATTTTTCTTCTCCCTCGCAACTTGCATCTTCTTCTCCACACATAGAGTATTAGCTTTCGGCAACACGTTTTCTTGGAAGGACACATTTTGGCAACATGTGTCGGGTATAAACCCAAATTTACAGTTCATGCAAGCAAAAGAAAAACAAGAGCACAGTTCAAACAAAAGATGTAATTTCGTAGGTTTACAAAATTCTCTTCTGACTTCATTCCATATTGTATTATAACCACTAAATTGAATACTTGAATTTATTAGATTTCCCATAATTTTGTAACATTCATTCCAACACCCTCTTCTCTTGCTTTACCATATCCTAACAGATTCATGAAATTTCAATCAACTTACCGGCATTACGTTCTCCAATTTGAACTAAGAAACCCCAACTATTGCAGAGAAGTTCTGCAAGCAGTTCATCCCAATCAAGTATGAATGCAAATAGCAACTAAGCAACACGCACATGAAAGGAACTTACAAGAGGATGCCTTTTTATTTCAACAAAGGGGCATAAGGGGCTGGGCATGGAGATACAGTGTGATCTGGTAACTGGTTTATCAGATCAACTGCCACCTTCAGACATGCATGGAGCATTTTCTTTTCTAACCTAATAAGCTGTGTAGCAACTCGCTTCTTTGGATTCAAATTTGCATCTGCCAACTACAGAAGAGAATATTAATTGAAATTCAGTTAGCCATACGTTGGACCCCAACTAATTTCTAAGAGTCAAGATTACCAAAGACTCATCTTCACTCAATGTAGTTGGATAGCCAGCCAGCCGTGTTCTAAAATAATCAGCAAGTTGGTCCAACACTGCTCGTTCCATACAAGGACTCACCTATAAGTTTATAACATAAAGTATATGTTACCATAAAATTTTAATGTCAATAAAGACAAGAGACATTCACCAGTTAATCAAGTAAATTCCACATGGTTAGTTGAATCATTTTGAATTCCACGTGGTCTATATGTCAATCACCAAATACCAGAGACATAACCTCTGTAATTACATGAAATAATACTGAATTGAAGATGATGTCCTTTGGCATGTTTGTTAAACCTTACCAAGGTCTCAAACATTCTACAGTTCCATTCTCTTTTGGAGTAGTGCCATTAAATTCTTTTTTATGAAAATCATTTGCTATTAGCCTAAAAGTGAACTTACCGGACAAATTGGGCCTTGAGAAGAGATAACAGACTGCATCTCTGAAGGATCTGAAACATAGCCCAGTCGCAGATAAGGAAGCATATCAAAGACCGTTTCTTTTTCCTTTCCCACATTTACCTGAAGCATGGGGCAGATTAAGTAACTAATGCAGGACAATCACTTAATAATTTTTTTTTGAGTAAAATAGTTTCATATACACACCTGAAAAGCTTGCACTGATAATTTTCCATTTCTTTGAGCAACCATTCTTTTATCTTGATATTGAGGATCCTCTGTATTCAAAGATGCCTGGAACACATAGGACATGTGGCATACTTAATACATAGGACACATAGGACATGTGGCATACTTTATTTGACATGAACAGAAACAGCAAGCTTGTAATAGAAAATTTCCAGATTTTACCTCAACCACCAAACGGTCATAAGAATTATCTTCATCAACAAAACCGTAGTTTATAAGCAATTTTGAATTAGGCTGTGGTCCACACCTGCAATATTTTACCAAATTATGATTAAAGATACTACATTGCAGTAACATGATAAAAAAAAAAGTTCAAAAATCATCTCATAGTTGTGGTAGTTATATACTTTTGAGAAATTTAAATAACATACCAAACACCAATAGATTCCCCTGCCTTATATGGGCGATCAACCACTAGTTGAACAGCACCATTAGTAGCTGTCAACATTGCCTTGCAATTGCTTCTGTAAGCTAACAATGGGGGCCCAAGAGGAACCAAAGCAAATCTCTGAGCCAAGCTAACTTTCTGCATTCAAAAGGGGAGAAAAATGTAATGAATCCAGATGCTTTGATTTAGAAAGACATGGCACAAAGAGAAAAGGGAGGACGGGGAGCACCAACAAAAATACTTATAATATTTTCTTATCTTGCACGAGTTAATTGTAAGATGAAAACATACAATCAAATGGAATGAAAAAACTTACCTGTAAATGTACTACGCATGACTGAACTGCAACAAAAGCTTGTTTGAATATCTCAAATGGGAAGGCCTCGGTAGGACTATCATATGGATATTGCTGCAAAATTCAAATAAAGACAGCACATTAAGTCATATTATTGGCTACAGTTCTAATGCCGGTCAAATAAACTTGAGTATGACCTGAAATAGGGACCCAGCCATAAACCAGACAGTGTCAAGTTCATTATATTCCCTTTTAATTCCTTCAGCCCTTTCGTGAACTTCAGCCTGATTCATCACCGCAATAATATATGGTTAAAACGTTTTGAATTACTAAGTATTCCATTAACTTACTTGACAGAAGAATGAACAGCAATCGTTGCAGGAATGATTTTACAACGGTTAAAGGAAAACAAGAATAAGATTACCTTTGTGGGGCTGCCTGTAAGATAAGCCAGTTCAGCTTCTGACCACAAAAGGGGAGATTCCACTGCTAACTGACCCCTCCCTCGCTGACGATCAAGCTCTCTTATATATGGATACCAAAAAGAATTCTTTCCTTGTTTCTTCTCATACATCAGATACAATGCCAAGCATGCCAATTCCGATAATTTGTTTGTAGTTAATAATTCCGCTGCATAGAGAATTAAGCAGAAAATAAAAATTAGTCCTAGATGTTCATTGAAACTAATCACGGTATGACATGCCAAGTAAGCAACTTTCTCACACAGAGTCATAGAAGAAAATACACATAAATGCATGCCCATGTGCCATGTATTATGAACATTCATCTTAAGCAGCTGAACGAGTTCTCATTGGTCTGGCCAGTTCGTATTGGTCTGGCCAAACATAATGAGAAAGTCAACAAAGAGTAACAATAAAAAACAATGTACATTACCAATTGTTTCGTTTCCTAACACTCTCTTAAGAGTTACGACCAAGGAATCCGGCACGGAAAATGCAACATCGCCAACCTTGAGAAAAACAAAGAAAAAACAATTAAGTTCCATCAAGAGACTCAAAGAACAAAAGAAGCTAAAACCAATGAATTAAAGAACTGCAAATCCAGACTTCGTTCACCTGAAGATCTTCACTGGCAGCTACGTAATGAATGGGCCTGTGTTTCTCATTATGCGAAGGCTTTTCTTTGAGCACGACTTTGCAAGGAGGTAGCCCATTCTTGTGCATCCAAGATTTCAAGTCCTCCTCCTCTTCTTTCTTGCTGACAAC